ATTAATTTTTTTTTAAAAAAAAAGTAATAATAAAGCAATAAGTAATGGATAAATTGTTTTATTCATTTCTTCACGGCAAAAGAATAAGAATACTTCACCAGCAGGACAATGCGTAAAAGCAAATTTATATAATTGTATTCAATTTTTATATTTTCCAAATTTGCCAAACTAAAAAAAATAATAATAATTTTGTCTCGGTACTTCAGATATTTTTTTTTACGTATTGAGAATCAACCAATCATTATCAATTTAACGGTACACATATATATACTAGGGCTTTCATCCAAATTTTGAATTCTTGAATTTTTTTTTCCTTGTTAAAAAAAAAAAAAAAAAAAAAAATGGATCAACAACATCACCAACCTTCACCTCAGTTAGTTTCGCTTCTTCAAGGAAAACTTGATTCTTTAGTGGGAAAATCGTCAGGTTATATTGAGAACCTACCCGAAGAAGTCAAGGATCGTATTAATGGTTTAAAATATTATCAGTCTGGGCATGCCAAGTTAGAAGCTAAATTTCAGAAGATATTTTAGCACTCGAAAAAAAATATTTAGAGTTATACAGGCCATTATATGAAAAACGATTAAAAGTAGTTCGCGGTGAGTGCGAACCAACCAAGGAGGAAATAGAAATAGGCGCGACGCTTGATGAAGAACAACAGACGGAAATAGAGGAGAACGCACAACCGGAAAAAAATAAAGTACAAGAGAATAAAGAGAGTAAGAAGGAACCTGTTAAAGGAATTCCAGAATTTTGGCTTACGGCTATGAAAAATTTAGGAACGATTGCGGAGATTATTACTGATCGGGATGAAGAAGCATTAAAGCATTTGATTGACATACGCATGTCATATCTCGAAAAACCAGGTTTCCAACTTGAGTTCGAATTTGAAGAGAATCGATTTTTTAAGAATAAAACCTTGACAAAAACTTATTATTATCAAGATGATCCAGGATATGGTGGAGATTTTGTTTATGATCATGCAGAAGGTACAGATATTGATTGGAAAGAAGGTGAAGATCTTACAGTGACGGTGGAAACGAAAAAACAAAAACATAAGGGTATATTTTCATTATTCTTTGCTTATTGTGGAAACTTTTTTTTTTTTTAAAAAAAAAAAAAAAAAACTAAAAAATAATAACAATAATAAATAATTGAAATTAGCTTTAAATAAAAATCT